CTCCAACTGCCTCACTGCCGGGTACTTGCAAGTTGGAGATTTCCGACCAGACGGCGTTAGACTGCAAAACACAAAGACTGACGGAGCTTCTGTACAGCCGCATTGTAACAATATTCAGCATGGTGGCAAACTTGACGGGTATTCTGAAAACCGCTATGCGCGCTGTACAGAGCTCCAGTCTTTCTGAGCACCGGAAGTGAGGTAGTTGCAGATCTCGATGAGTTGGAGCTCCCCATGGTGGGTGTTAGAATGGGAGATCAGTGTCCGCTAATCTTCCCTGTGAAGAATGAACCTGTAAGCGCTCGGCTTTGAGAACTTCCAGGTTCAGGGCTGTAGGACCCCCATCCAGGGAAGAATCAAGAACAGTCTGCGCTCAATCAGCTTCCACCACAGAGTGCAGAGGTGACATTAGGGGTCTAATAAACCCCCTGATATGTCCTGCACTATGCTATCAGTAAGGGCCCGGAGGTCCAGTGGAGCAGCTAATCGGGATAGTGAGTAACAATTGAAGTTTACACCCCCATGCCCACAATTCTAATGGGTCTGAGGCCATCACTGACAGATCTTCAGCCCCTCCCCGGTTTCCGGTGCTGGTGACCAGATTAGGGTGTCAGTAAAGGTGGTGCTAGCAAGTTTAGCCCAGCTGCTGCTCCATGATTGATAGAACTGAAATCCAATAAGTGAAAGGGGCAGGGCCAGGGACAGTCAGTTTGGGGGAGCAATGGGCTAGAAGATTTGGGGCATCCTCCAGCCAGGAAATGAGGCAGGCTCTATCTGACTTGCTGTAGCTTCTCATGCACATTGTGATATATTGTTATATTTTGCCTTTGCATCTACTTTAAACATAGCTAAAGCTGAACTCCGGAGCAGATAGACTGCGGGGGACGGCACCAGAGAGGAGATGAGATGCAGCCAATGGATTTTTGCTCGAGCTCTATAAAGTGGAGTTGGCCTTTAACCTAAATCCGATATTGTTGTAGTTCTGAAAACTGACCACTAGATGTCACTATTGTACCACAAATGAGTAAAGGAGGGCTCTCCCGCTAATGTGAATCATGTATAATACAGGGGCGGGCAACCCTGGTCAATGGTGTTACGCGGGGGGTGCGGCCCGCACCCGGGTGACACCATTGGAGGGGTGACACCAAAATGACTAACAGTCATTTTGGTGTCACCCCCTCTAAAAAGTCGGACACTCGGTCATGGATCGAAAGCCCGACGGTGTCAGGAGAGAGAGGAGGGGACCCGGCGGCATACCTCATCTTGCCGGGCGAACGTCCCCTCCTCTCTCTGCCGGCATCCATCACTAAGATGGCCGTCGGCAGGCGTCAATTAGATGACTGCGCACACGCGATGACGTCACAGCGTGTGTCATGCGTTCTCCGCCTTAGGACGCCCCTGAACCCTGGTACTCCAGCTGTGGTGGAACTACAATTCCCATGAGGCCTTGCAAGACTGACAGCCAAAGACATGACTCATAGAGGCAGAGGCATTATGGGATTTGTAGTTTCACCACAGCTGGAGTGCCAAGGACGCTTACCCCTTATATAGTGCTGCACCATCTGTCATTGATAACCCCTAAAAATGCTTTCTGCCTGGTTGTTTCTGCTCCATATACTTTCCGAGTCATTGACCCGCAACAGGTAGACATATCAGAGTCCAGCCGAAGCTCATGTATAATAGTTCCGGGTCAGTGAATCCGGATGTACTGAAGCCATTGGCTCAACATGGCAGCCAGGGAACTGGTATTTACTAAAGCAGAGCTCCGCAGTGGCCATGCCATGCTGTCTCAGTTCAGCGTTTCCTTGATCAGCTACTTACTATTTCTTCTTCAGGATTTCATCCCGGAAGTCGCTGGAGGTGCTGAGGACGCCCTGGGTCTGGAGGCCGTAGTTTGCAGACTTGGTAAAGGTCCCCACAAGGGTGAATCCATTGGTGAATGTCAGTTTTCCCTAAACATAAAAGGGAGGGGGGGGGGGGGG